GAAGGGGGGTGGGAGTTTCTTTTTTTATAAAAGGAAAATAAAACAAAACAAAACAAAAAAGCTACCAAACCCAAACCCCAGGCAGGCCTCAGCAGTGTGCTGTGAGCCAGCAGCGAGCTGCTCGGCTGCAGTTCCTTTAAAAGGAGATGTCTGCTCCGGAGACCTTTGTACACTCCCAGCCCGTCCGGGAAACGCGGAGCAGGAGACACCTCAACGCTCCCACCGCCGGCAGCTGCCGCCAAACATGTTATTGCAAAACACTGAGCCCGGGAGCCGGCTGAAGGGAGGAGGAGGAGGAGGAGGAGGGAGGGCTGAAGGCTTCTCCGTATCATCCACTGGCCGGGGAGCATCTGAGGGCCTCACCGAGCATCCTCGGGGCCTCTCCCGGTGCCAGGGGTAGGGCTGCTGGAGGGATCTGGCTGCCTGGTTCTCGTTTGTGGGGTCTGGTTTGGAGCCACCCGATGTGTCCCTTCAAATCCCAGCTCTGCTTGTGCCAGATATGGAGATTTTTGGAGGGTTGGGGTTGGTTTCAGTGCAGGGATCAGGGGTTGCTGCCACCCCGTCTCAAGGTGCCACCTGTGGGCACCATGAGCTCCTGGTAGGGATAAATGCAGCACATCCAGGTTGTTTCCTTCCCCAGCTTTATTTGGGTGGACCCTGGGTGCTCACCTGTGGCTTGGATTTGGGGATACTCCTGGAAACCTTGGCTTTGTCCCCAAGGAAGGCCTTCCTGTGTGTGTGATGCCTCGCATCGGGATGCTGCTCCCAGCCCTGTGCGCGAGCGGGGACAGCGCCAGCACTGCGAGCCAGGTTCATCCCGTCACCCCCAAACCACTAAAACCAGGTTGTCCGGGTGTAACGAGTGTCCCTCGTGTCCTGGCAGGTTGTCGTGTGTCCGTGGGGGCTCGGGGTCGGAGCCCAGAGCAGCCAGCACCATAGCGTCCAACAGCTGGAACGCCAGCGGCAGCCCCGGGGAGGGGCGGGAAGATGGCCAGGACGGCATGGACAAGAGTCTGGACAATGATGCCGAGGGCGTGTGGAGTCCGGACATCGAGCAGAGCTTCCAGGAGGCTCTGGCAATCTACCCCCCCTGCGGCCGGCGGAAAATCATCCTGTCGGATGAGGGCAAGATGTACGGTGAGTGACGGGGGAAGGATGGAGGCAGCTTCTTCGCTAAGGGCAGGGAGGAATGGGGTGAGGGGGAATGGGTTGGAGATGAGGAGGAAATTCTTTGGTGTGAGGGTGGTGAGAGCCTGGCCCAGGTTGCCCAGGGAAGCTGTGGCTGCCCCATCCCTGGCAGTGTTGAAGGGCAGGTTGGATGGGGCTTGGAGCAGCCTGGGCTGGTGGGAGGTGTCCCTGCCCATGCAGGGGTTGGCACTGGATGATCTTTAAAGTCCCTTCCAACACAAACTATTCCAGGATTCTCTGATCCCGGACCAGTGGCAGTGACCCGTGTCCCCTCCCTCTGTGCTGGCTGTCCCTCCCGCTCCCTCCCTCTCTTGGCCCTGCTGGACAGACTGGTTTGGTGAACCAGTCAGGCAGGGAGTGGGTGCGGGCAGGGAGCGGGAGCACGGGGGCAGCTCCAGCCCTCCCGCTCCCCTTCACCTCCACGTCGCTCCCCAGACCTTCCCCAGCAGGACCGCACCTGCTGGGCACAGCCACCCACCCCAAGCCACCAGCCCCAGCTTGGCTTTTGGTGACTTTGTTGGTAGCAGCAGAGCTGGTTGCCCCCACTGGTGCAATGAGTTTGGGAGGGGTCTCAGCCTGTCTCCCCAGATGACTCTGTCTTGGTGGTTCTGCAACGGGGAGGATGAGGATGGATGATGCAGACAGGGGGTGATGCTGGCACAGGGCACACGGTGCCACCAAAGAGTGGTGGAGGGTGCTGTGGTATGCCCCCCATCCCTGACAGGGTAGAGGCTGGACCCTCCTCCCCTCCATCTCCCATGATGTCACCCCCAGGGCTAGTGACTTCCAAGCTGGGGTTGCCACATTACTGTGAGGGACCAGGGCCAGCAGCCTTCATCCCCAGCCTCCAAAATACACCTGCCCAGGATGCTGCTGTCACTGTCACCATCACTGTCACTGTCACAGGCAGTGGCTCACCCGCAGAGAGGGCCAAAGAGGCTTTGCAGCCACCACGTTGCCTCTGTCCCCATCCCCACGCTGGCTCCCCGTGCCACCCCACTTGCCAGAGCCCCCATCCCGGGGTGTCAGGGCTGGCAGCTGGGGCAGGGTGGGGGGGAGCACAGGGCTTTCCAAGCGGGTGCATTTTTCGGATTTCTCCCGGAATAGCTGAAGTGCCGCCGGGAGCCGGGCCCTGCGCAGCCTGCCGAGCGCCGACCGG